CCAGTACATGTTTTCCACCATTGCTAAAATAAGTTTCTTGCCGGACACGACGATCTCGACGACGGGGAGGTGTAGATTCACGGCCACGGGAAGGACGACGGCCAGGGAAGCGGACACGGCGTGGAGAATCATCGTCACGTTGGGGATTGCGCCAGACGGTCCGGTGAACGAATTTTCGGGGACTGTGACTACGACCGCGCTCACCAGAAATCATTGACATTAACTCTGCACGATCAGCGCGGCGCTCAGCGGCATGGCATTCACGATCTGCCTCCTGCAAGCGGTTGCGAAGGCCCTCGATGGTGGCTTGTGCATCTCGAATTTGCTGTGACATCGTGAGGAGTTGCGTGGTGTGCATGGCTCTAGAGGCACGGTCATCCTCGCGTGCAGTCTGAGTGGTGGGGTTGAGCGCAGAGGAGATGGTGGACAGGAGATCTTGCGCATCATTTCTGGATGTGCGTGAACGAGGAGGAGGGGGGATGACACGATCAACGACAGGGCGGCGTACAACAGGACCATTGGGCTCCTTTTTGACTTGTACAGCAGGGGTAGCCGTGCGGTTGGTATTGCGCACAGGTTGTGTGATAGCAGGAGTTCAAGGTGGAATGTTTTCATCTTCGTCTTCGTCATCACTAATAAATACCCAATTGAGTGACTGCGAAATGACCAGAACACTTATGCACACACCTGATTTCAATCGGGTCCTCGTACGCATCTACAATGTCAACATCATCTAACTCCCGTGTACCAGCTTTCTCATTGATCTGATCCTCGATGAAATGGGCACGTTCGATATGTGGTGGGCATTCCGCATCGCCTGTTGGTTTAGTGGTACGAACGAACTAAAGATGACAAATGTTAGCAATATTGTTAAAGAGTGAATAATTGACTTACCTGTTTGAATTTAGCCTCGAGTGATTTGGCAGTGCGCACAGGGCGGCTATTTTCCTCAGCCCATTGGGCGAATTCATCCGCAGCACTATTCCACGCGTGTCCACCAATAGGAAGTCGATCTTCGATAATGTCAAGCAAGGCGTCAACGTCTTCGGCGGAGTAGTTGGCGACCCCAGGACCTCGACCACGTCGTTTCTTGGTGTCAGGTTCCTCCACACGCATGACAGACCCTTTGCGCTTTGACGATCCAGCAACGGGGATCGGATCAACGGCCCTTTGCTTGCCTTTAGCGGACGTCAAGGGGCGACGGCTACCGGCAATTTTTGATGCTGGATGTGCGATACGTGGTAGGATTCGGCTCGGTGGTGGGAAGTCGTCTGGGCCATCGTTTGGAAGACTGATCAATGCAGGATCAATCTGAGGTAGGGTATTTGATGAGGCTGATGTCGACGATGGGTGCTGGCCAGGTGGAAACGGAGAGTCGTTGGGACCACAGGTAGGTCGAACGGAAAACTAAATGAGTGTGAGTAACGCGGAGAAATTTTCATGACATAGACTTACTTGTCCCATCGTATCCCAGACCATCAGATTGGTATTAATCTGAACACAAGTTAGATGTGAAAGAGGCTCCATAAACAACATAGTTTACATACCAAAGAGCCAGATGGACGTGGTGATGCGACACACTGCCAAGATCCATTGCCAGAGCGCGTGTACTTGAGCCCTGTTGCAGGATCAGACCAAGTTTGGAGAGCTTCAGATGACATGTTAGAGATGAAGAAAGGGGACTTCGAAATCCTGACTTGACGACAACCACATACCTCACTTTTTATAGCACATCTGCCAGCAAGCTTAGATCTCCCACAACATTGAAATCTCTTGTTTATGCAGGAGCCACTGTGCCAAGTCAGTCAGTCAGAGACCAGGAATCAAGGTTAACACTCACCCACTCACTCAGGTCGACAAAAAAGACCACAGGTACCATTTATCTTGTGCAAATTTGCAAAGCTGGAAGCTGATCAATGAAGGTACACCAAGTCAATGGAATGCAAATCTACCTTAGTATCCTTCAACATGCATTGCCCAGGTCCACGTTGAATAACACGTAGCACTTTCACTGCGATTGGAACGATGACAGAGATGAATTGGGGCAAGAGCAGGGAACGTGTACCGCTTACCAACATAACAGCTGATATACACATGGTCAAACAAACAACAGAACCAGCGCTTAGAAGCTGCGCGCTCGGTGCTGAGGCGTGCTGAGCACTCGGCGCGTAGAGAGTGGTAAGTTATGGTAAATCTTATCAGTGGAATTCCAATGTCGCGGACATTGAAATTCAGCTCGGAAATGTCTGAAGACGAGTCTGGAGCTGGAAGGGGGGGGTAGAGGCCTCATCCAGATTCAAATCTGGAAGAGGGTTGGATTGAACGCCCATCCATTCAAGAAATATATTTTGATGGGACCTGCACATCGGCATCTTGGCTTGAGCAGTTTGAAGATAAATCTGGATCTGAAATCGTCTTCAAACGTTACGGAAAGTCATCCATTGCTTGCCTAGGGCGATATTTTTGGTATTTCATTTTGCCCTAGGGCGATATTTCTGGTATTTCAGGGTTGTTAGGAAAGTGGTCACATGACCAATTTCCTAAAATAGCAAAAAAATTAAAGTTGTAGCTCTGCACTCTAGCTTCTAGAATCTATTTGAATTATGTTCTGAAGTGCTCCCATTGTGGAGATATGATGTAAAAGACTTTCAAAAGTGTCGCTTTTTTTTTTTTTTTGGGGGGTTTTTCTCCATGAAAACAAAACCAAACAACATGATTTCAGTATATTTAGAAAGCTAAAAGAAAGGGCTACAATTATTTTGTTTACTTCCAGAAATACTCTGGGAATTAGCTTCTACAGACATCATGCAATGTTCATTTTAACATTTCTACCTACCTTTTGTATTATACACACTACAAACAACAATGGGGAGTCATTTTACCTCATTCCAACAAATATATTGAGTGAAAAATACATAAAATGGAGAATAAGTTCAAATTTACCTTTTAGAGGAGGATATAAAATTTTCTAGCCCAGAGACTTTATGAAACTTATAACAATAGCAGGGAGATTCAGTGTTCAAAATATCTCTTCCTCAAGTTGTGAATTGCTTTCAGTAGGTTGCAGTCATGCAGAATTTCCCACTTTGTTACATCCCATTTTTGGCACTTGTCACAGTCAATTCCCTGCCTTATCCTGAGTTTTCAATGGTTCATCCCCAGACTTGGTATATACAATCTGCACCTCCTTAGCTATATTTTATACACTAGAGCTTAGTTCTCAAAATGTTTGATTCTTGTGTTATAGCACCAACTTTGTCCAAAAAATGATGACAACTCGGCCATATTATTAGATACTATGCCCGGGCCTCGGACCGCACGGCAAATCGTTCATAGTTTTTCTCCTTTGGCAGGCTTCGGAATATTTCACGAAGCTTAGTTTTCTTGGGTCAATGATGCCATGATTTGTGATGCATTGATGCGCGTGATGCGCGTGATGCGTCTCTCCACATGACTTCTTGGATCATGCTTCGTAGCACGTGACCGAATGACTTCTCGCGTCAGGTACGCGTCGAGTTTCTACGCTCACACGTTTATCTTTAGAATTAATATCTTTTAATCCATAATAAAGTGAGACCCTGGTTTGGTGTAAACTCCAACACCCTGTGCAGGGGTGTTTTTACTCTAGAACACTTGGTAGCATACTATTTCATGGTAGTGTAGCCTTTTATTAGACTTCGAGTATATTGAGGTGATTCGGTCACGAACTGACTGCAATTCCTACTGTCTAAGGCGTGCACATTTCTCGGATGTAGACTTTAATCGACTAGACCGGGTTGCATCTAATGATCCTCATGATCAATGTGACTGTATTTCTACTATAGGAGGTTTTATAGGAGAAATCGCTAAAATTCGCATTTTTACGGGTGTATTGTTACACTCCGTATCAATGGTGCAGTCGAACCCATGAATGAGGCCGTGGCCAAAAGGTATCCGGAACATTGAAAATCGAGGGGTTGGGATCGGGTATGTGGAAAGTCTTCGAGACCATCACGTTTGGTAGGCCATTACAGACTTGTCAAATCATTTCGTCTGAACCACCTTCAAAAAACACTCTACCAGGTAGAGCCTTCCAACCAAAGACCGCTGGGGGTCGAAACTGTGCAGGAAACCTAGGGTCCATGAGCCGCCGATGGACTCGACAGACTATCCCCTCCTCATACCCAGGCTAAGTAGAAAAGTCCTTATAAATATGAGCTTCAAAGATTGGATTAGTGTTATGACAAGCACCGCCCATAAAGACGGTTTTCCGATATCTTGAATGTCTTCTTCCGTAATATGTCGATGAGCTGTGATGCGCTCGAGAAAGCTTTCCCAAAACACATCGTCATCGGACGGCATCAACGCTTCACGGAGAAGGTTGCGGTGCGCATCTCCTGAGATCGAATCATCGATGTCTTCATCGTCGTCGATAAGATCACCTTGAAAATGATTAGAAGTGTAGTAGCTATCGTTACAACGTATGATACACACCTTCGTTGCCGTTATTCTCATCATCGGTTTCCGCCTCTGATACTTCAGCTTCGAGATCCAAAAATCGAAGAACTTCTGGGTTCTGTTGCGTGATTAGCTTGCTAAGAAATCTCACAAGAATAAGGGGGACTTGCCTCGAGCTTCATACGTTTCATTGGTCTCTCAGGGTATTCCGCTTCCATGAGGATTTCCTGGCATTTCTATTACATTACGGTCATCTGGAATTCAGTTACTAGCACGCACAAATGTTTCTAAAAGCTATATACTCTACAAACTACACAGATGCTGCACGAAGATGGGAAAGAAGCTCGAGATTGTTTGCGTGCTGTTTTGTCTTTCATTGACTTTAGGGCCAGTTGCTTTCCATGGTGGAACTTAACGTGCTTTGTATTTGTGACAACACATTTGAAGTATATATTGCATACAATAGAAGCATATATAATTGTATGTAAAGTCTATATATGGGAGGTCTTGTGAGGTCTATATACGTCTATATACTTCTATATACGAGAGGGGGGGAGCAACGAGTGGGGAGGAAAGGAAAAGAAACACGCAAAACGCTGAAGCGCTATATATCCAGGGCACTTTAGGGCCATTTTTGATTTAGGGCAGGCATGAAACATTCTTCCACGCCTGCCCTCAACATTCCATGCCTGCCCTAAATCAAAAGCAGCCCTAAAGTGCCTCGGATATATAGCGCTGGAACGTTCTTCGCTTTTCTTTTCCTTCCCCTATCCCTCCCTCAACTTTAGACGTAGTAGTTAAATTATTATAGATAGATATGCAGTAAGGATACCCATTCACTACCATTAAAATAGTTGAATGAGCTATGAAAAGGCTGTAATAAAACACATATAATGTCGTGCGGTACATACATATCGACATAAATGCAGGTTCCAAGGGAGGGGCAGTATTTTCGGAGGCCTCTGGGCCCAGCTCGTTTGAATTCGGCCTCGCCGAATTGATTAGTGACACCACCGTACATTGAATAATACTCCTCTTCGCGACGCTTGAGTCAGCTCTCATGAGCCAGGTAAGCACACTGTGCTTCCCCTTTGTAGGACAAATTCTCACCTATCTTCGAATAGCAGGCGCTGCCGTTTTCTCTTCAACAACGAAGACTATTATTTTGCACGGTGAGAATCTTGTTTCCTCGGCGCCGCCGATCCTCTCTTCAACCTCTTAAGGAGCTCGGCTGATCATCTAACACAGATCTTGTCAATACACGAGCATTTTCCTCAAGAATCTTTTGCGTCTAACACCGCCATCTATGTCTCATAACTGAAAGAAATTGCCGATGACGGAGATGCTCAAACAGTTCAACAGTACATAAATGATGGATAGACAACACGATTAGATACACGCTGAGTTGGTTAATGTGCCTGAACACACTTGTTAATGCGTTTGGAACGCACGATTGTTATTATGTCTGGAACGCACAATTGTTATTGCATCTGGAACGCACAATGGATAATGCGCCTGGGCACGCGATGGATAATGCGCCTGGGCACGCAATGGGTGACATGCCCGGGCACGCGATGGATGACATGCTCGGGCACGTGATGGGTGACATGCCCAGATATGCGATTAGTGATGCACCTGGTGGATAATGCGCATTGATCCGTGGACCCCAAGCCTTGGTATGGGATTGGAATACTCTATGATCGCCATGGGTCTATCGATCACGCCGAAGAAGCCTTCTTGTGTTCTTCGTATGGATAAAGGTCAGCCTTACTTCATCGCTATCAAACACATGTTCATCTTGCTTTCTAGGCAGATTCCTCATGCCTTTTGCAAGTTTTTCAACTGAGGCTGGTGTGGACAATGCGACGACAATGTGGATGGAGGATCGGAGGATAATAGATTCAGTATGTCGATCATGCCTCAAATTATTTTCGGAGTACTAACATGCTTGTAAACGATTTCATTGATAACAGCAAGAACCCTGCTGAACTGGATGAAGCCACTCAACAGCTCCCCGATTGAGGGTGTACTTGGCTTATTCCAATCACGTTCGACATTTTTGGCTGTACAGCCTCAAGTTAGTTATCTGTAACGCCTTAGTAGATGAGACATTCAATTAGATACCGATTGAATTAACTGTTACATTAATTCCGATAGAAACACGCTCTAACAGCATGTGAAGTGCTACGTTTAAGCCATACTTCTGTATAAAGTACCGAACAACATCTCTAACCCTGTAAACCACCCAGCTTCCTTAATGGCCTGAGGTAGAGGCAGAAAAACAACACAGCAACCAGCACCTCCTCGTACAGCTGGCCGCAGAGCAGCGCCAGTCAACCTTCGTGAAGAATCCGGTTCTGGAGAAGAATTCGACTTCACTCCCTTGGACGTACATTCTGGCGATGAAGATGTACAGCACATACAACGACCGATCTCTCCTGCGAGTGTCGAGCCTGTAGATGGCTCTGCTGCCTCCACCAGACCTGTCACACCCTCTGAGCGAGCGTCAGAATCCTCACGGAGTCGAACAGCCCCAGATATTGATTTTTTCTTTGAACGTGGATCTAAGGTGCCTCCAATAAGCAGAACTCTATGTAAGCTATGCAAGTACGTGGTCCTCCATAATTTTAGACATTGTACTGACAAGGATTGTTATTTAGGATGAATGGGATAGACTTGCGCCCGGGTGAAGGCAGCTTCTCAGCGAACACCACAAATAGTCCATTGCGCAACCACCTGCTAAGCCGCCACAAGGATTCCTATCTCCAGAAGTGTCGTGAAATGAAATGGTTTGAATTTCATCGTTGCAGACGATCAGGTTGGTAAAGGACTTTTAATGTTTGGTATTAGTCTAACCTTCTTCGTAGTCTATAAATGTTGTTGAATGCCCAGAATTTCGACAGCTCCTCTTGCTTTTACATGAGGACCTCGAGGATAAAGACATTCCCCGCCGAACGAAGATGCACGAGTCCATTATCAAGGCATGGCATGCATATTTCAAGGTTCTGAAACAGGAATTAGCGGTATGTTGTTTCGAGTGACCGCTTTGTTTCCTTGTATTCACTGATCACTCTAGGATGCGCCAGGACGAATTTCCTACACGGCGGATATTTGGTCAACAAAAGCACGGTACCCATACTTGGCCATTACCGCACATTGGATCCATAGAGACAAGTCAACCAAGGGTCTCCAGCTGCGCTCTTCACTCATCGCATTTCACTGTCTTCGAGGAAGCCACAACGGAAACAGGCTAGCAAGGATTGTCCTCCATCTCTTGGATCGAGTTGGGATCACAGTCAAGGCACGTCTAAGTTTCATATCCTTTCCCTTTTCTACTTTATGCTTATGTGCACAGGGAGGCCATTGGACTCTCGATAACTGCTCGCTCAACGACGCATTCCTCAGAGAACTCGAGATACTTCTACGCCCTCGCGACGTTGAGTTTAATCACAAGGAGAACCATATAAGATGCTTCCCCCATGTTACCAACATATGTTTGAATCACGTCATTGATGCATTTACTGATATCAGCCTGGTAGATGATACAGGGGGATTTGTCGCATCCGCATCAGGCCCTCCAAGTGATCCCGATAATCAGACTTATGAAGAAGCAGTTGCTCGTGACCCAATTGCGTTGTGCCGGAGTACCGTGCGAGCAGTACGTGCCTCAGGTCAACGATGTGACCACCTGGCAGAAGTAATAGATGATGGAAACAAGAAAGGGTGGTTCAAGTCAACCGGGGATCCGACGGTAACTATACAGGTTAAGCAAGTGCAACTTATACGTGACATGAAGGTTCGGTGGGATTCTCTTTATTTCATGATCAATCGGTTTCGTAATCTACGCCCGGTATGTTTGAAATTCATCACTCTATCAGTGTATACTTATAAAAATAGGCCGTCGAGTATTTTCTTTCTTTGCCCATCAACAAAGAGCTTGCAAAACTTAGACTTACTGATATGGAGTGGACTGTACTCCAGGATTTTGAGATCGTACTCGGTGTATGTCTCTAATATTGATACCCGTTCAAAGCTGAGTCTTTTTCTTAGGCACCCCATCAAGTGCAAAAAATCATGTCGAAAGAGCGCACTCCCGTTTTATCAGGCGCAATTCCCGCCTTCGAAATGTTCATGACGGCATGGGAGCAACTTGGGAGAGACCCCCGCTTGTCTCGATGGACGGGTATTGGTATCGACTGGGCGACAACCTACTACAAGAAAATGGATGATTCGCCTGCCTATGTTATTGCGATGTGTGAGTTAAGGTTCAAATTCATCAATCATCTAAAAACTTGACATCATCAGTTCTAAATCCCTCAATACAATTGTCATGGATTCGACGACACTGGGAGCCTAATTACGTTGCCAGGGCCACCGTAATTATAAAAAATACTGTAAGTGTCGCAGTTTGTTATGGTGACAGTAACCTAATATACTTGTTGCAGATGCGAAAATACCATGACCATCTTCATGGACAAGAACCTACACCTGGTACAGCAGCCTCACAGCAACAGAGGCGAAGCTGGCATGATTTAGCTGGACAGTACAGACTCGAAGATATGATGGACATTACAGGTGCTTCTTCACAGCAGGTCCAAGGCGTTGAAGAACAATTTGAGTCATACGAAAATGGGCCGCTCTCACCGCGTGGCACAGATATTATAGGGTTTTGGGCAGCAAGTATAGTCTCTCGCTATTTTTTAATTTGTCCCACTGATTTGTTTGTAGATAAGCGATAAAACTCATCCAATATTGTACGCAATGGCATTAGATTATTTGCCCATTCAAGCATCCTCAGTTCCTTCCAAGCGCGTTTTTTCATCCAGTGCCGAAACTGATACAAAGCGGCGAAATCGAATCCACCCTGTTCTAATGGAAGCACTTCAAATGTTAAAGTTTTCGCTCAAGCAGCAACGGCTAAACTTTACGGAGGGATGGGCTGTCACAGAAGACGAGCTTGAGTATTACGCAGATGACAATGAAGATTCAGTGGATTTGTTAGGGAAGCTAACTTCGGAAATTAGGGAGGACGGTATAGATATTGATGAGGTAATCCATGTTGTTGGACAGGACGACGAGGATCAATAGCTTGCTCAATATATTTTACTTATTACAAAATGCATTTGTCTCAAATTCTATTACAAATTTACCCTCATTCTACTTAACGTGCGAGTGATCAATTGCAGCAACCATTTACTGGCTATAACCGGTTCAAAGCCACCGACTAAGCCGAGCCAAACCGGACTTATCAGCTTTTGAGTGCGGAACCGGCAAAAGCCGCTGGTTCAGTGAGCTGGCTTGCGGCTAGCCGAGCCGCGGCGGCGCTAATACCACTTCATACCATCATACCAAAGCTGTCACTGGGTGTCTGGGGTCCTTTTCCAAAATAAATAAATAAATTCACTTCAGTCACCCACCTTGACCAAGCTATTAGCCAGGAAATCCTGAAAAATTATCCAGGCTAATAGATCCTCTGGCTGGTTTTTTTTTGGCCTTTGGAAGAAAATATATTATTGGATTTGATAGAAAATGTTTGACCTCTAATATTGTGACTAGAAATATTTGGGTAGATAAATTGTGTTCAAAAATATCCTAGTCAAGTGAAAGTAGTCAGAAATATTTGAAGGGCGTCAGACTGGTAAGAAATTTTTGAAGTGTTTCAAACTGGTAGGAAATTTTTTAGCTGTGTGACACTGCTGAAAAATGTTTGAGTCATGTCACACTGCTAAGAAATTTCTGAACCATGTCATACTGCTAAGAAATTTTTTTGCCATGTCACACTGCTTAAGAATCTTGTGACCATGTCACACTGCTCGGAAATGTTTAAGCCATGTCACATA